AAAAAGAAACCAACCCACCCCCTTAAAACAGTATTAAATGATTCATAGGGATTCACTTGGGAGGAGTGTTGTTGGAAGACCAAAAACCTCAGGGGAGATTACAAAAAGTTTAGGGATCATAAGGCCAAAAGTGGCCAGTCCCTCCACCATGTCCTTCTACAAGGAACTCCATGCCTTACTTACTAAGGATGGTAGCATACAACCCAGCAGATTATGTACCGGTAGTGAAATTACTAGGGTCTCAATGGGGCAGCCAGCCAGAGTTTAAACTTTGGAGAACACCTCCAAGTCATAATGTTCCCAGGACCTTTTCATGCCCTCTTAAGGTAAGATGTGCCAGGGCCCCTGGGAAGGGGATTATAACCCGCCCCTCTGCTCGGCAATTGTACAATTTGTACAACAAATTAAAAAACACAACAATTAAAACATTCTATCATCCCACACCCTAACCCTCCCACCCCTTAAAACTAGATTAAACTACCAGAGAATTAAAATCAAGTTCACTCATAAAACACAATAAAATCAATTAGGCCAACATGTCGTGGTGGCGGGAGGGGTAAGTAGGAGATCATCTCCAGCAAGCCAGGTGGTTATTCTGGGAAGGCCTGCCAGAAAAGATCCATCTTTACTGCCTTTTTAAAGGCAGCAAGAGTGGTAATAAGACGGATCTCGTCTGGCAGGCCATTCCACAGTCTGGGGCCGGTCACGGAAAAGGCCCTCTGGGAGATCTGTGAGAGCCTAGTCTTTATAGGCTGCAGCAGGTTCCTCCCAGAGGACCGAAGAGTGAGGGGGGGATCATACCGAGAGAGGCAGTCCCTAATATAAGATGGCCCCAAGCCATGTAGGGCTTTAAAGGTTAAAACCAACACCTTGTACTGCGCCCGGAAACTAATTGGCAGCCAGTGAAGGGATTTAAGTGCAGGTGTTATGTGCTTCGAGTCACTGATTCAGAGCCTGTGATGTACAAAGAAAGTTTCAATTTAAAGCATCCTATTGGCCCAAGCATCCTATTGGCCCTAGATGTTCCTGTAATTAACCTGGCTGCCATATTTTGTACCAGTTGAAGTTTCTGGGTTAAGCACAAGGGTAGCCCTATGTACAGTGTGTTACAGTAATCCTGACATGAGGTTACCAGAGCATGTACCACAGTTTCCAGATCCCTCATGTCCAGATAAGGGCACAGTTGGTGTATCAGACGAAGCTGATAACAGGCACTCCAACTGCCGCATTCTCCTGACTTGTCATGTGAAAGGACAAATCTAGGAGTATCCCCAAGCTGCGAACACAGTCCTTAGAAGAGAGTGTGACTCCATCCAGGACTGGAGACTGCATTCCCAGATCTGGTTTCGGGCCTGTGACTGTCAGTACCTTCGTTCTGTCTGGATTTAGTTTCAATCTGTTTTTCCTCATCCAATTTATTACCGCTCTGAGACAGTCATTAAGAGGGGAGACGCCATCTGAAGTCTGAGCCGGTGATCTGGTCATGGAGAAGTATATTTGGGTGTCATCAGCGTACTAATGACATCACGCTCACCCAGCAGCTTCATATAGATGTTGAAGAGCATTGGAGACAGGATGGCACCCTGAGGGATGCCACAATTAAGCTCAATTTTGGAAGAGCAACTGTCCCCGAGCCTCACCCTCTGGGATCTGCCCGAGAGGAAGGAACGGAACCACCGCAAAGCAGTGCCACCGATTCCTAACTCTCTCAGGTGATCCAAGAGGATGGAATGATTTATTGTATCATGAGGGTGGGCAGAGGGCACAGACGACCTCATCTCTTGTTATTTAGATGATTAAGATGAACACCCTGACTCAGATGATACATCTTGCAGTCAGAGGGCTGTGGACATATCCTCCATGAGACCACTGTCCCATGCTGGAGAGGGTACCCCTACATCTTCCACGAGCAGACCATCATCTTGTGCTATGGAAGGGAGCATTACATCTTCCAGAATCAGTAGCTACTGTAACCACTCACCTGTCCCACTGACCAGTACAGTGGCAAGTGAGGATGACAGTGAGGATGAGGAGAGGGCAGGTCCTGAACAATTCACCCAGCTGATGAATCAGGTCAAGGCTGCACATAGTAAAGTCATTCCCAGTTATTACAATAAATGTATTCCATCGCATATATGCTTGCACTCAAAAGGCATGGCAATTTGTATGGCTTTTGTGATATCTTCTGTGCAGCTGCGCAGGTGTTCAGAAGACCTGCACTCTGCTTTTGCAGCCTGGCATGCTGGAGGGGGGGGGGTCGTGGAGGAACATTTGTCTGTGTGTCCTGTTGACCATGTCCCTTGCATGACCACCAGCTGCATATATCCAGCCTGTCCACACAAACCTCCCTTGCATGTACCTCTCTCCTCCCCCCCGATCTCTGAGGGACATGTTTTGTGTGCAAACTGTGCCCTGTGCCATATATGTCCTATAGAATGAGAAGTAGGATGAGACACAGAAGGAGAAACAGTTAATCCCAGAGCTGCAATGCCACCACCTGGCTGAGATCAAAAAGAAGAGGATGCATCACTCAGCAACCACAACAACTGCTAGTGCCCTGCATCAGTTCATGGACTGTAGCTCAGACCAAATGAACAGACTGCTGGAACAGGGGGACCATGCCTATCATCTCAGGGAGAAGCAGGCGGAGCACTGGAA